GTTGAGTATTTACAAAACTGTGAGCTCTGGCCAGAGAAGTTTGTTGTTTGTTTGTTTGTTTGTTTATTTAAAAGATTTGCATGGCTGCCCATCTTAAACAATTCTGGGTGGCTCACAATAGCAGTAATACCAGTAACTATAAAGCATAACCATAAAACAGTAAAACAATCAAATAAAAACAAAACCCCCGCATCTTAATCTTCCTCTTAGAATGCCCCGCAGCAAGCTCCAATTACCCTCATTCCATTCTTTCTATTCCTTTTTATCCTATCCCAGTGCCTCAGTAAAAAGCCAGGTCTTGATGGCCTCCGAAAAGCTAAAAGGGTGGGGGCCTGCCAAATCGCCGGGGGTGGGTGGGCAGGTTGTTCCATAAAGTAGAGGCAGCCACGGAAAAAGGCACACTTCCAAGGTCCCACTAGGTGGCAGGATTTCAGGGAAGGGATCTGGAGTGTACCTGTCCTACCTGATCTAGTGGGACAGGCAGGTATTCTTAGGGAGAGGCAGTCCCGCAAATAACCAGGTCCCATGCCATGTAGACCTTTAAAAGTGATAACCAGCACCTTGAATTGCACCAGGAAGGAAACTGGGAGCTAGTGCAGCTCATGAAATAAAGGTGTAATGTGGCCAAACCTATGAACACCCAGTACTGTGTGCGCCACTACATTCTGGACCAGTTGGAACTTCCGAGTGGTCTTCGAGGGCAGTCCTGTGTAAAGCACATTGCAGTAATCCAAATGGGAAATGACAAAGGCGTGACTGACTGTGAGCAAGGCCTCCTGGTCCAGGAAAGGGTGCAACTAGCGCACAAGATGGATCTGTGCAAAGGCTCCCATAGCCATGGCTGCCACCTGCTCATCAAGCAGGAGCCATGAGACCAGGAGGACCCCAAATTGCGCACCAGCTCAGTGCAGGGGAGTGCAACCCCATCCAGAGTCAAAGATGACAAGTCACCAGACCTTGGGGGAACCAAAAACCCAGAGTCTGTCTTGCATGTCAGGCCTAGCCTGAGGAACTCCAGGAGACCATGCAAATTCTGTTGAGCAACGTTTATTAGCTACAACCTCTATCAAGAATCTTCCCAGACTGAAACTCTGTTCCCACAGTAGCTATGCAAACAGAGTGAATTCCTCAAGGAGGTGCCAGATTCATCCTCTTATCTCTTCCTCGCCCTTCTGGAGACGAAAGAGGATGCTTGTCTCCCTGAGTGTGGCCTTCATAATTCCATTCCATCACATTGCCAGGGTTGAGTTGAAGTCAGTTCCTGCCCATCCTCCCCTTACAGCCTCCAGGCACTTGGACAGCACCACAAAACATCACCTGCCTGGGCAGGGATAGATGCATATAGCTGGGTACTGATATTACCGTACCCCATGCTGTCGGATGACCTCACTCAGCAGTTTCATGTAGGTGTTAAAAAGGAGAGGGGAGAGCCCTGAGCCCTGAGGCACCACACACTGTAGGGGCTTAGGGCTTGACCTCTCCTTGCCCATCAACACTGACTGGAACAAGCCACGAAAAAGGAGGAGAGCTACTGCAAAACAGTGCTTCTCACTCCCAACCTATGGAGCTGCTCCAGAAGGATACCATGATTGATGGTATCGAAAGCCTCCAAGAGAGCCAGGACAGTTGCACCCCCCCAAGCCCTCCAAAGGTCATCGGCAAGTGTGATCAATGCCATCTCAGTGCTATAACCTGGCTTGAACCCAGACTTAAAAGGGTCCAGATAATCTGCTTCATCCAGGGCCCTCTGAAGCTGTGTGCCAATCACCCTCTCAACAACCTTCCCCAAATAAGGGAAGGTTGAAGACTGGATGAAAGTTGTGTAACACAGCTGGGTCCAAGGATGGACTCTTGAGAAGGAGGCACACCACCGCCTCCTTCAAGGCAGGCGATATCACCCCCTCCTGCAAAGAGGCATTAACCACTGCTTGGACCCAGCCCCATGCAGCCTCCTGGGAGGCCTTAACGAACCAGGAGTGAGTGAGGCACAGTGGTATTACTGCTATTGTGAGCCACCCAGAATTGTTTAAGATGGGCAGCCATGCAAATCTTTTAAATAAACAAACAAACAAACAACAAACATCTCTGGCCAGAGCTCACAGTTTTGTAAATACTCAACAACCCCTCAGATTCAAGGATACCAAGAGCTGTGCAAAAGGTCCATTAATTGATGAGGGGGGGGGGGGGGGGGAGCTACAATTTGAATAACTGTGGGTGTAATAAACACTTTCACCTTTACACTGGCAGTGGCCATTAGCTGTTTCATTTGGGTTCATTCTTGTCTGCTACAAAGACTCTTATCTAGATGAAGTGTGTCTGTGAAACTTCTGTTTGGTTGAGCCCAGGAAATGAGTTTAACCATGTAAAGTCAAAAGTTCTTTACAGCTGAGTCTTGATCAGAGGAGCCTGGCAGCTTGATTGCCTGTTCCTGCTTCAGCTGCTGCAGGAGGAGAGCCATCACCTAGAGATTAAGGATTAGCCCATTGTCTACTGGCTGCCTGACTCCTTCACTGATTGTCAAAAACCTGGCCAAGCACATCCAGAACACAGGTGACCGTGCTCACAGCCACAAGGACCCTGTCCACTTCCTCAGGATCAACTGGCTCAAACTCCTCCCAGATAACAGGGCTCAGATGTGTCTCAGTCACTTCCAAAGGATCAGCTCAGCCAGAGTCCAACTCCGAGCGAAGTCGACCAACTTTATCTGACAGATGCCAAGCATATTCCTCACAGTGGCCCTGCAGGAGCTGTCCCAGCTCCTCCTTATCCAGGAGGGACCCTGTCACTTGAAACAGGGCTGCTGGATGGCTATCTGCAGATGCAATAAGGGCGGAGAAGTAAGTACCCTTCACCGCTCTTATCACCACAAGGTAAGTCCTAATATAGGCTCTTACCTGTGCTCCATCGGCTTCATTCTTTGTCTTTCTCTACTCTAGGTGTCTCTTGTGTTACTTCATATCTCGGAGCTGCTTGGTAAACCTCTACAAGATCCACGTGCACAGAGAGTCTGTACCGGCGCAATTTGGTCCAGCACCCCCATTGCCTTATCATTCCAAGCAGCAACAAGGGCATCGGCCGAACCGCATGCCAGAGCTTTGGGAAAAAAACCAAGTTCCCTCTGAAACCACACTGGGTCCATCAGGTGCCTGGGGGTGGGATGATCAAAGTGTTGGCTCTCAGCTACTTTTCCCACTGGAAGGCTGCTGCATTTCTTATTTCCATAAACAGTCTTCTTCTTAACCAAGGGTTCCAGCTAAAACTTTATTTAAATCAGCAATAAATCCAAGCTGGGTTGGACAGGGCGGTCTAAATTGGGAAATATGCAAGCATACAAGGCTTTCAATCTAGACAGTGGCTGATGGACTTGTCTAACTTAATTGGGGTTTGTTTGGACTCCTAATCCCCCCTCCCCATGCAAGCAATTACTCAGAATAGGAACTGTTAAAAGTTCAGAAAAATGTACTCGAGTAAATGCACATTCTACACTAAACCCTACAATTGCCCTCTGAATTTCCTAAAAACTAATAGCCTGCTGAACACACATTCACAAGCATGCACAAACACCCAATCACACATCAAAGGATAAATCTCGAAGAAAAAAAATAAAACCATTCCATGAATACTCACCCACAACAAATGATCCTTTAGAAGACAAAAAATCCATAACAAAAAATACACACATCCAAAACTATGTAAGCAATGCATACAATAAGCATGAGAAATATATATTTTACATTTAAAAAAGCAAAAAACAGAAGTCACCATCCACAGCCACAGGCCCCCAACAAGAAGAAAAATAGAACAAATACACCAACAAAACATTTCTACAAAAATCTTTTTCATTCATTCATTCACTCACTCACTCTCTCTCTCATTCATTCATACACACACACACACACACACACATACATACTCACAATCCTCTTATAACCTTTTACACACACACAGAGAGTCACAGTCAAAGAACACATATAATATGAAAAAAATTGCTCCTAGAAAGACACTGGAAAACATTCTTTCATTGTCATTAGGAAGTTTGGAGAAACATCTGGATACTAACATAGATACAAACATAGATACTAACATAGATACAAACCAGAATTTGGCCAAATATAATTACTCAACTTACTCAACAAGTAAATAAATACTTGTTTTTTTTATTAAAAAATAAAAATAAATAAATTTTAAAATAAAATTTAAATAAAATTTAAAATAAATTTAAAATAAATCCTAGTTTAAGATTATATCTGAACAAAGTAAATGCATCAACTTTATTTTTCAGATCTGGATATAAGGTAAATAACAAATACTGACATTTAAAAAAAAGTTTCCAGAATGTTGCTAAATATGAAACTTACCTTTCATTACGGTTTACTTGCTTTCTAGACTCTTCCAGAAGTTCATATATATTATTCAAATCTGTAGGAACGTCTTCTGGAATCTGATTTTTATCTAATTGCCTGCAATTAATTTATAAGATGATTAGTAATATTTTGCAAATTATCAATCAACCAATCAATCAATCAATCATCTTAGGGACTTCCATGCCCAAATGATTAAGTTGGTCTAGCAAAGAAAGTGGCCATCTTATTCTTATTTTTTTTATTAATATCAATGATTTATATAAAAGCAGTTCGCTTATATTGAGATTCTTCTGTACATTGCTCAGTCATTAGATTGAAATAGTCAACTATATTTCAAGCAAGAAGATAGATTTTTATAAAACATAACAAATTCAGTTTAGGATATGTAAGGGGTAAAAGGAATGTCTCTAAGTGCATAATTTTGCTTTTAGTGACAATGTGTCAGCCCTTTGAAGTAGTCCAGAGAAGCAGCAGCAGCCATGAATATTTACACTACCTTTATTATAAGGTTACACTAACAGAATCTTACAAGTCTGAAAGTACCTCTCCCCTCCCAAAAACTAGGGAGGGTCCCTTCTGAGATGCCTTCTCCACCCCCACCCCTCCTTCTGACTCAGATTTCATTTATCAGACCATTGTCTAGGCTGTGGCTTTTCTTCCTGTTGCTCAAGGTCATTCTCACATACCATTACACAATCAGTGTTAATGCTAGTTATATGGGACACATTAATGAATTGACTGCTTTAAGATAAAATATCTATTTGTCACCCATCTATTCACCAAACAAGCATTTGAGTAATAAGCTTCTCAGGGTATTGCTGCTGGATGTTCAAGTGTATCCCAAGAAAGAGAAAGAGATTAGATTTATCCTAAAATATAAGAACAGGTGTGGTACAGTGGTTAAAGTGTTGGACTCGCAGCCCAACCTACATATACATCCCAAGGTTGTAGGGAAAAATGGGAGGAAAAAATGCAACCTATGCTGGCTTGAGTTATTGAACTTAAGGCAGGATATAAATCTAACAGATAAATAATTTCAATTTGTGCATTTTCTTTTACTTATGATTTCCAAGATATCTGTCCATCTTTAAACACGTAAATACCCAATAACCACATGAGTAAAAGCCACTACTTACTCTTTGATTGTTTGGATTTTATATATGATATTCAAACTAAGAGAGCTTTCAAGTTTATCTTCTATATCTGAAAATTCCACTAGTTTGTGACGTACCTATAAGCAATTATAATAACTATCATCAGATAGTAGAAAAGAGGAAAAGAAATCAGAATTTCCAATATTGAAATTCAATGTAAATCCCTGGTATTTTCATTATAGGCTCTATATGTTAATTATGTACAGCAGAAACTTTTCCAATTTTTAAAACAAGATCTGAATGTTCAATATAGGCATTCTTAAAGTACAAAACAATTAGATTTCAAGCTAAACACAAAAATCTTTCCAAGTGTAAAATGGTTCCTTGAGTGAAACTATGCAGGTCACCAAACAATAAACATGAAGTTACCAAATAATTTGTTATATCAAACTATCTATACCATATTCCTTTCCAAGATGAATCATCAATTTACCACTCTTACATTTATTTTTCCCCTTAAAATATAGCATTATACAAAGATGTCATCAGATTCTTTTTAACTACTTTCAATTTTACTTTCCCACAGAAGGATTCTTATATAATTTAGAGCAGGACAGGACCAAATTCACAAAGGAAGTTTGAAGTACTATACTGTTAGTTCTATAACACTACAAAGCTTACAGGTAGCTGGGTAACTTCAGGCTTCACTTGCTCTTTAAAGTGTTCGGGTTTTACATTTTGCCTCAGCTTCCATGGCTGAAGGTGGACTGGAACCTGGTCTCCGTGCTCCCAGTCTAACCCCTTAACCACAGCACTATGCTGGCTTTCAGCCTACAGAATGGCTGTTGTGAAGGAAAAAAAGGATCTCCTCTTTGAGTTCCTGAAGGAAAGACAGGCTATAAATCTAACAGAAAATAAACTGCTACACCACACTGACTTTTTCTTCTTCTATGTTTGATTCTGTTTGTTTTCTACTGCAATACATCCTTCTCATCTTTTTTATTATGTATTATAAACTTCCCATATTACTAGAAGGATACAAAGCAAGATGAATGTTATACGTGATCTTGGACTAATTCAGGTGAAACACCACATTTTTATATGTGTAACTTTTCTAGCGTTCTGCTAGCATCAAGGGAAAGATTGCATTTCATATTTTCAAAAATTACCATTAGTGAAAATAAATGCTTATATCTCCTTGGAACATTTTCTTTAATGAATGCGGCTGCAGCGGATGAAAAAGTTATGGCTTCTTCAATTCTGGAAGCATCCAGGAAACTTTCAAGCAATTCTCTGGGACAAAAAAGGGATTATATTAAACATCCTTTTGAAAAGTATTGGTAAACAAAACTTTTATATTATTTATTATATTTCATAACAAAATTTTTGAGAACTTGAAAGCACTTTATTTTGTAACCTTAAGATAGTGAAAGTGAAGATACTATTTTGAAATTCTTCTTATAACTAACACTTTGGTCTCTATATAAATAAAAAATACTGACAAATAATTATATGCCTTATTTGAAAGTTATTGAAACCCACTATTTTACCAAAGGCATATTTGAAGCTCATGTGTGATCTTCTGCCTTCCTTACTGCATGCAAAGTCTTTAGCATCTATTCCAGACTTTTTAAATAGAACACCCAAGTAAAATAATCTGAATTAATAAGCCTAAAGAATTTGGCTACTATGTCTGCTGTATTTTACATCTTTAAAAATACACATTTTGAAGATAAGAATGTATGCTGCTTTTTAGAGAACTACAATGCACTATAATGAATACCCCTTTTAAGAAACAAAACTACCAATATTAAACAAAATAGGAAAAGTGTTACTCAATTAATCAGAGGCACAATAGTAAAAAAAAATTGATAAGAAATTGCAATCCTATCAAAAAGGCTTTTAAAATCACTTGAGCTATATATCAGAAAATGTTTTAGAAAATTTGGTAATCTGTCCAGTGAAGGAGAATAAAGTTAAATGTGCTTTTCTTTCGTTTTCTCTTACCAAGAAATCTCTCCAATAGTCTGCATTTCTGCTAGGATAAAAAGGATGACCTCTCTGTCCACATATTATATTATGTTTACCTAATCCTTATGACATAGATTTATAGCACCGTAACAATTATGCAAACTTTGTATGTGTAGATGTAGAACTGAAACATATACAGGTAGTCCTTGCTTAACAACTGCCCTGTTTAGTGACCATTCAAAGTTACAACAACACTGAAAAAGTAACTTTATGACTGGTCCTCACACTTATGACCGCCAGAGTGTCCTTGCAGTCACATGATCGAGATTTGGGTGCTTCACAACTAGCAGGCATTTACGATCGTCGCAGTGTCCTGCAGTCACACGATTGTCATTTGCACGCTTCATAGCCGGCTTCCAACAAGCAGAGTCAATGGAGAAGCCAGCGGTAAAATTGCAAGTTGTGGTCATGTGATGTTGTGCTTAACAACCGCAGATGACTTGCTTAATGATCATGGCAGAAGTGAGGTTGTAAATCCGTCACGGTCATGTGATGTCTCACTTAACAACTGCATCACTTAGCGATGGAGGTGCTGGTCCCAATTGTGGTCATTAAGTAAGGACTATCTGTATTTAAGAGGTAATTTTATGAAGTAGAATGATATGCATTTGAGATGTCAAGATCCTCAAAACAGATGCACAGCAGATTAGTTTTTATATAGGGAGATATTTGTTTGTATTCCCCTGAACTGAAAATCATGCATCATGAGAAAAAATTATCACAACAAAAAAGGCTAGGTCCTCAAGCCTTCTACTGTATTAATTTTAAAGCAATCATATAGTGAGTCTATGACTTGCATAAATAGGTTCTATGAAGTTTTCTATTAGATCAGCTTCCATAATCATTCAAAAGTTATTTTAAAACATCATGAAAACCTCAATGTTCTTTTTAGGTTGTATTCAAACCATTAACTTTGTGGTTGGTATTCATAAACAAATATTCAAGAACACTAGAGGCAGTTTTGACCCATCCTATTGTCAAATCAAGTCACCTTGCTTTCTGATTCCAAATCTTGATATTATGTAGTATTTCATTAACATTATATTAATAATCAATGTTAAGTTGTAATTGCTGTTTGCTCAATATTAACAATAGGGCATTAAGTCTACATTTGAGCCAGCATCTCATTGACTAGAAATTCTTGGACAGTTTCTTTTCTTTTCTTCCTATGGATAGATTCATAACCTAGGAAAAGCCATCATTAGTGCCACAGAAGAAATTATCATGTTGATTTTGCTGATATGGAATGATTCTTCCCCTAAATAGGAACTCAGCTTACATCATGAGTTCTGCTGTCCAATCTTTGTCTTCTTCAACTGGATGTTTCAATGCAGGCACAATCTGAGAGAGACTTGGTATAAGAAAATAGCGGAACCCGGGCTTTAAAAATGGTCTTACATTTTTCCAGTAAATAACTGAAGCATTATATATCAAAAAATAGTATCTGGAATAAAAAACAAATATTAAGATTATATTGCCCCAAATGGAAGTACGCAAGAAATGGATCTAGGACATTCCCCTATCAAGACTTTCTACCCTCAGTTTATTATATTGGGTTTTTTTATTCATGGATAACCTGAAGCCTAGCTAAGTAGTATAAGCCAGTAACATATCTGACAGAAATGTGATTAAAAATCAGGCATTCAGCCTTGCCTATGTCTTCTAAAGTACTTTGGTTGTTGCTCCATGGCTTAGCATATAAAATATATAGCCACATTAAAGTGTAGCACAGTAAATGGCTAGCAGCCAGCAAACTCCACTCTCCCTCTCACTGATGAGGTTACCTAGTGGGGTAATGAAACATCTGCAAGAAAACATCCAAGCTCAGAGACCACCAATAATCCAACAAAAGGACAATACTTTTCATGCTATGACCTAGTTCTTATTTATTTAGTCAGGCACAATAATTGTTTCCAGCACATTGTGGAATGAAATCAGGGAGAAGGTCTTCATACAGAAAGGAATGAGAAAGATCTTACCTTGGATCACCTAATGCAAAATCAATTGTTTTCAGCAAGTTTATAATGAATTTTTCAAATTGTTCCTAAAAGGTAATAGAAGTATTTCACTTTGAAATGAAATAAAACCTCTATGATATATCACTCTTCTAATACCAACACACCCCAAACTATTATTAATTCAGAACTCACAACTATAGAAGTATTTCACTTTGAAATGAAATAAAACCTCTATGATATATCACTCTTCTAATACCAACACACCCCAAACTATTATTAATTCAGAACTCACAACTATAGAAGTATTTCACTTTGAAATGAAATAAAACCTCTATGATATATCACTCTTCTAATACCAACACACCCCAAACTATTATTAATTCAGAACTCACAACTTCCACATACTCCAAAAATATATGTATATTTTTCTATTTATAATATTCATACATATATATTATTTGAGTTAATAGGTAATAACAGTAAACTCTTGATTTAATTTATTATGTATGTTACAGCAGAATGTCCATTACAGCTAAATATGGTCTTTTGCATGCATCTTATACTATTTTATGCCTGAGTAAATAGCAAATACAATTTTATGCATATGCAGAACCTGACAATGTGCAAAGCACCTGAAGTCTGATAAACTGAGGTCTGTTAAATCAAGAGTTTATAGCAAATATCACTTAACACACTTAAGCTACCTCAATCCCATTCACAGTAGAGCTTTGTGAGGTACTTAAAAGGGACATTTTCCAAAGGATGATATTTCAAGCACTAAAGCAACCCTATACTCTCAAACTTGTGTGTCTCCTACAAAGACTGCCCCAGATGTCTGTGTATGTTGTCCATGCAAGACACTTTGCTTTATGGCCTTGAGGCCAGCACTAACACACTTTGAAAAGGGTTCCTTTCAGATGCTTTGCGTAGCCCAAATTCTCAATAATCTAATAATGCAGAAGCATGGGCATCCACTAGAAGACACAAACAACATTGTCAAAACAACACCGTATACTTCCTGATGTTATCATACAAATGATGTAAGAGACCTCTCAGGGATATAAGAGACCACAGAACAAAAAGTATAAATAAAAAACTTTTATTTCATGAATGTCCTTCAATTAATTTATTTTGGGAACTAAAATATGGGTTTACCATATATATTACATCTACCATTGCCTTTAATTTCCCTTTCAAAAAAAGAGCCTTTAAATTAACAATACCAAAATCAGTCTTATGCTCACCAAATTGTCAGTAGATACAGGAGTATGTAACTGGCTCTGACACAAATATGCTCTACCCAAGAATTGGTTAACAGGAGCTTTTCCTTTAAAATACATTTGTAGACAGTCATGGCTTATTTCAGGAAAACCCATCTAAAATGAAACATATTTCACTTTTTAGAAAAGAGCTACACAATATTAATAAATGACATGTTATCCCCGACAAAATGAATGCGCTGTTACCTGATATGCTTGTTCTGCACATAAGACATACAAGTCAAAAGAGAAACTCTCCAAGGAATCAAGGGCAGATTTTCCATCATGTGCTGATTTGATCAACTTGTAAGTACTTTTCAAAGCATCAACATCTTAAAAAGAATATTAGGTGAAAAGTAATTTTTTGCATTTAGTTATATTGATGATAAAAATAATTTTGAGTAAGTATAATTAGAAGCTTGAAGAATAAGCCTGAGGGATAGTTGTGCTTTGCCTTGATGACATGCTTTGAGCCACAGAAGCAGCATTATGGTTTTTATCAAAAACAACACTGATGAGATTTTCTTCATTAACCTTCATTTCAAAGGTTTCTTCTGGTAGCCTTGTAGGCAAACCAGAGGACACCCAGACACCACAGAAAGCACAGCAACAACAAGAACATTTGCTCTTTAGATGTTGCCAAGCTGGCAGCGCCTTGCAAAAAGGAGTCGGGAGCAGTTGCCGGTAAGCGCGAAAAACAGCACGCGCCAAAAAAGGGCGCAAAGCAACGAAAACCCCGCCTCCTGCGCTCGCCAGCTGGGCTCTGTCCTAGGAAGGAGGCTCTGGCAAACCACTTCCAAAACACTTTGCCTTGAAAACTGCAAAGGACTTGTCCAAAGCAGTCACTGCAGAGTCGGTAACGATTGAGTGCAGATAAAAAAAAAAATTTGAAGGGGTGCTTTGCTTGAAGCATCATCAAAGCAAAGCACCTTTGAAGCTTTGCATAGCCTTAATCGGTTTACTCACTTCAACCAATTTTCAGGGTTTGTACCACACACTGAAGCATAAACTAAACCTATCAGCTGGGCCTTCACACCACACTGAATTAAAATGTGGTTGGCAAGTTACTGGTTCAAGTGTGTCATGCAAACACAGACATATAGCATTGTTCTTCATTAAAAGCCTGGTCTAATCCAAAAACTGCTATAGACGTTGTTCTATCTCAAGGAGAATTTGCATGACCAATGCATAGACTGAAAATAATTATTGAAAACAAGCCTAACCTTTTGTGTCAAATAGAAATGGGATTAAAAAAGCTTTCCAGGAACGATGACTGTTGGTGCGAATCACAGTTCAATAACAGAATTAATACTTTGCATGCAAGAAAACTGCAAATGAGTCCATATTTTCATCATGCAAACGGGTATTTAGTTTCCTATAACAAGTGATCAGCATCTTAAATATCAAATACTATCCCCATCCTCCACCTCCCCATTTACCATGATGGTTATATATGGGGCAAAGCACTGTCAACTTGGACAAAAAAAAAAAAGCTTATCCAAAGGAAGGCTGGGGGAAACCAACCTTACCTAAGAATAAATAAGGACTTGGATCTTACTTCTCTGTAAACATGCTTTTGATTGTAGGAAAAACTTATTTCAATGTCTGGAAAAAAACAATAAATACTAAAAAGAATGTAAAACCATTTACTTTGGTGTCTCTCAGCGTCCGACAGCTGCTGCCTAATCAGTATCTCCATGCTTTTTCACCTATTTTGTTCAGAACTTGTTCACAATCTGCTGGAAGAAAAAACAGTCCAGGCTGAAAAGTAAAATAATATTTTAGTGTCCTTTACCAGGAACCTTTCAGCCAATTTGTGAGATCATTTTGTAGCAGAAAATGAAAACCAACCAAACAGCAAAAACCCCATGGCTGTAAAACTATTCACAGTTATGTAGAACTAATCCTATTGAGTACCATGGCACTCAGTTCTGAGTACACCTCAGTAGAAAACTGTATTACTTTCACAATGAAAGATCAGCACCGATTGCCAATTGTTTTCCAGGTCCAGTTCAATGTATTGATTTTACAATTTAAAATGCTAAATGGCTTAGGGTCTGGCTACTTAAGAAGCCACATTGTTCAGTATGATTCTGTTCATAATCTAAAAACTGTGGGAAAGGTCCTTTTGAGAGTATCTTTGCTTATACAGAAGTGTGCTGGCCAGACACATGGGCATACATCTTATCTGGGGTTGCAATCTGTCTCTACACTTTTTCTTTTCTGAAATGGTGTCAAAAACACATCTATTTAATTTAGGCACATAATTTTTAAGCTGTCTCACTATTATTTATTTTAATTATTTGTATGCTGCCTATTCAAACAACTAATGTTGTTTTACTAATTTTATTATTTCTTTGTTTGAAATATGTATACCAACAATCCTTAGAAAGGCAGTAATTATTTTAAAAGTAAAATAAAAGCAATATTTGCTGGACAGTAAAAAACTACTGAATGCATCTACTGCCTGATCTAAAAGTTTGCAAAAGTAACTTTTGAAATTCATACAATTATCTTCTCTAAGATTACAGATCATATACCATATGAACACAGAGGATTAATACCTACGTTATTCAACAAGAAGGGCTTACCAATAAAACCCTTGGCTATCATTGTAATATGAACTGCAACTCTATAAATAATTAGTGTAACCTCATTTGATCTCAGGTATGTTTACAGCTAGGTAACGATTACTGTGAGTTTGAATAATGCGATATTTGATTTAGTGCGAATTGTAATTGATACCAGGTCGCATTTGATCCAACCCAAAATTGCTAATGCAAGGCAAGGCATTAGCAAGGCACAGTTGAGGCTTGTGCATGCGCAGTTATGGTTAAGGTGTTAGATGCTACTAATCTTCATGTGTGTAAAATGGAGAAAAGAAAGATTCCATCAGATGAAAACAGTATAAGCTCAAAAAAGAAGAGGCTCATTATTACATTAGAGCAAAAATTTGAGGTAATTGAATGATATGAACGTGGTCATAGCAACTCTACAGTACACAATATTATAAAACATGCAGGGGAAATGAAAGAAAAAGGTACAGTTGCATCAGCTTTAGATATTTTAGGTATTTTTCAAATATCTACAAGGAATAGAGGTGTTACAATGATAGAAACAGCATCTTTTAACTGTATGGATTGAAGACTGCAATCAATATTAATATTTAATTAATATTCATATAAAAACTTATGTTTAAAATTTTTCATTGCCTATTTCCGTCAAGCTGGAACTAATTACCCTGTTTTCCATAGAAATAACACTCTAAATAGTGAGAATTCAAATAATACCACCATTTTGTGGGATTCATTACCCACACTAATCAAGACCTGGCTGTATTTCTGAGTAACCATATATAGTTCCAACAGAAGAGGATATATGTAGCTCAGGGTTGAACTGTGGAGTCCCTCTGAGCTTGGTTGTCTGCTTGCAGACATTTCATTACCAATTAGGTAACATCATCAGTGCAATAAGTGTGGGGTTTGCTTCCTGCTTATATATAGTAGCTTGCCCTGCCAGCATTGGTGTGGTTTTCTCCTTGGTAGTTCCTTGATTAGGGTATTGTGCATTGATTAGGATATTGTTTTCTGCTTGTTTGCCTGGTGTTAATCCCTGCTTATCTGGGTGTTGGCTGCTGGAGAGGATGTGTTCCG